TTAGTTTCTCCAATGTAGAGGTCTGGACAGTCCTCGCTGCACTGGACCGCATACACTACACCACTCTGTTTGTGTATGGGTGTCTTGTCCTTAGGGTGGACCAGCCTCTGTCTGAGAGTCCTGCTGGGTTTGAAATGTACTGGGATCTTGTGTTTGTTGAAGATCCTTCTGAATTTCTGTGATACTCCAGCAACATAAGGGATGACAATGTTTATTACGTCTGTTGTTCTTTTTCTGTTTATTGGTGTGTTTTGTAGATTTCCTCGCTGACTTGACAAAAGCCCAGTTAGGATATCCACATGTTTGAAGAGCTTCTTGAATGTGTTTCTGTTCCTTTTCCTTCCCTTCTGTCTTCGTGGGGACGCGTTCAGCCCGATGTTGTAAAGTTCTGATGACAGAGTTTGTGTTCCAGTGGATGGTGGGAGTCAAACAGAAGATACTGGTCTGTGTGGGTTGGTTTTCTGTAAACTTCAATGTTGAGGCTGTCCTCTCTCTCCATCTGAACCAAACAGTCCAAAAAAGGCAGCTTGTTGTCGTTTGCATCCTCCCTGGTGAACTTGATGTTGTTATCGACCGAGTTAATGTGTCTGGTGGACGCTTCTATTTCCTTGGCTTGGATTTTGACCCAGGTGTCATCCACATAACGGAACCAATGGCTTGGCTTTGTTCCCTCATAGGAGTTTAGGGCTCTCTGTTCCACTTCCTCCATGTAGAGATTGGCAACAATGGGTGACACTGGAGATCCCATGGCACAGCCGTGCTTCTGTCTGTAAAAACTGTCATTGAACTTGAAATAAGTGGTGGAGAGGCAGAGATCCAACAGGGTGCAGATCTGGTCTGGGGTGAAGTTGGTCCTGTTGATTAAGTCCTTGTCTTGTAGAAGTTGTTTTCTGACGGTTTCTACTTCTTCAGAGATGGGTATGCATGTGAAAAGAGAAGTCACATCATACGATACAAGGGTTTCTCCTGGGGTTAGTTTCAAGTGTTGAACTTTGTTAGCAAAATCAATGGAGTTCTTTATGTGATGAGGTGTGTTTCCAACAAGAGGAGCTAAAATATCAGCCAGATGTTTAGCAATATTGTATGTCATTGAGTTCATGCTGCTGACGATGGGTCAGAGTGGTGTTCCTTCTTTGTTTAATTTTGGGAGTCCATAAAGACAGGGAGTGGCTTCCCCTGGGTACAATCTATAATACAAAGATCGATTGATTGTTTTCTCCTTTTCAAGTTTTTGCAGGTAATCTGTGACTTTCTTTTTGTAGGCACTGGTTGGGTCCCTCTTCAGGGTCTCGTAGGTGTTACGGTCGCTCAGTAGTGTAGTTATTTTTTCCCGGTAATCAGAAGTGTTGAGGACTACTGTGCATCTTCCTTTATCAGCTGGTAAAATGGTGATGTTTTGGTCCTGCCTGAGTGATGTTACAGCTTTCCTTTCCTGTGGTGTGAGGTTTGAAGGAGGCGGTTTGGCACTGGAGATGGTTGCTGATATTTCCATTCTGAGCTGTTCTGCCTCTCCTTCCATCAAGTTGTTGTTCCTAATCGTGGATTCAGTGGCCGTGATTAGTTCCACAACAGGTATTTCTTGAGGGGAGATGGCAAAATTTAGTCCTTTTGCCAGCACGTCTTTCTCAGGTTGTGTCAATGTCCTGTTAGACAAATTTCTAACCCAATGGTCCTGAAAATTAGTGTTGGCAACAACCTCCTGATCTTGACTGATGGTTTGTGATGAGAAAACCGCTCTCTGTTGTAATTTTAGAAACTTACTTTTTTGACGTTCCTTGCTCTTTTGATGTTGTGATAGCTGGGCCTTTTCAACGAAACAAGAAACTTCTTCCAACAGAGGAAATGGTAGCAGAGTAGACAGCTTCTGGAGGGTCTGATCCATTTTGAGTGAGAGAGCTTCAATGGTGAAGTGTATCTGTTTTATTCTCTCACTGAGCAGCTTGTTTTGAGCTTTCAGGAGTATTCCTTCTGCTCTATGTCCTTTGATCGTGGAGTTGAGTTTCAAACTGCTGGGGATGAGTTTTTCTTGTCTGCATCTCAGACTGAAACGAAGATGATTCCTGTAGTCTGCAAACTTCCTTGACATCTTCTCAAACTCCCGCACTGCTCCTAGGATATCCTTCCCAAAATGATTAGCAATATGCTGGTGAAGATTCTCAGTCATCCAGGACATGATGAATTCAAAAAGTGTTCAATACAAAAACAACTGGACTTTATTTGTAACAGAAGACGTTTCGCTCCTCATCCGAGGAGCTTTCTCAATTCAAAGAGCAGAGAGTGAGAGATACAAGTTATAAGGCTGAGTGAGATAAGACACACACACACACATGACACACACACACATAATGTATATGTAGATAGGCAGTTCACACCTAAAAAAACCTAAACAGTAGGTCTTTGTTCCTCTAATTCACAGTCGAGGCCCCTCTGTTCCCATCAGGTGTGAAAACCGGCTGGGGATCTGTTTTAAAGTTGCATTATATGTTTTTGAAAGTGGAAATTTGAGGTCTCCTCCTCTGTTAAGAGACGGCTTTTCTCTTTATACATAAATTGCTTCCTTCACCCCCCTCTCAAACCATCTGTGTTCTCGGACCAAAATGTGCACATTTTGGACCGAGAACA